TAGTTTTGCTACAGATTTGAAACGTTTTGTTCCAAAACATCTCACATCTCACATGTTTTGTCCATCCGTCCTAGTTTGCAGGTTATTCTCCGATACTCCAGGAATTACAATCTAACATACGGTTGTAGACGTGCGTCACAATGACGTGTAATTTGTTAAACGACACAGAACATCTCTAATGAACACCATCCCTGGTTCTCACAGCGCGACGATTTTAAGGCGTCCCGTAATTAATCATTTACTTAATTACTACCGGTCCGAAAACTTCGCGGACGGCTCGGTGCACTTTTCGTGACCTTATTAATGACCCGGCGCCCTGCGGCGATCGAACTTCGTCGTACTTGGCGTGGAAAGCTGATGGATAACTCAAAAATTTTCCGCCGCAGACTTGTTCCAACCGCCCGCCGCAAAGAAGTAAGCGTTAAAAGTTTCGATGGTCTGTTATCATGGAAGATGCTTTGAAGAACAACAGCAGCTGCCATTCACTGGTTTCTTTTTATCGGGTTAAAACGCCGTCTACACATTATGGTGCCATTAAGTAAAAAGGTCTTATGTGCTTAAAAACACAGTAAAATGATTAAAAGTGTAAAATTTCAATAATACAGTCACTATTTGTTGGGAAAATGATATGTAATATTCTCTCAAGGATTTTTAATTCCGAATGAAACATCATTTTATTAGCTTCCTGTTAAAAGGAGAGCTGAAACTAAAAAACATTGAGACAAATACAAGAAAATTCATCTCATTTTCATGTAAACGTTGTTTAACTTGAAATAATATTTTTTCACTATATTTGTGGACTGTCGAAAAGTTTTGGTTGGAACGTCAACTTTTTCGAAGGTAGCCAAAAATGACATATACAGTGTGGCCCATTTGTTTTTAAGCTAGACTGTAAAATCTTTATTTATTGTGCGATTTAAAGATGTAGAGCTTAATGAAGTGTGCTTTATGAAGGAAATTGAGCGTAATCCCACAAAACTACGTCCGTTTTTAGGAGTAATATTTCATTTTAGGTTTTTTTGAGTAAAAATATAATTACGCCACTGGATTCACGAAGCCCCAAAACGGTCCAATACCAAATTTTATCACAAAATTTTAAATAATAACGATTTTGTAGCCGAATCAAAAATTTACAAGTCTATTTTTTTTTCATTAATTTATTGTTAATATCAAGTTGTCCATTAAGCAAAACAAAAGATGAGGTAATTGGCTAATTGTCAAAAGTAACAAATGTGTGTGTAGTAAAGTTAATTTCTTGTTAATATCTTTGTTGATCCTCCTATAATTACATTTGACGAATATGCAAATATGATAGCTTCAGCACTAAGTATTTTTTCGAAGAAATTTTGAAAAAATTCTAATTGTTCCTAAATTGGATAAAATCGAAAATTTTTAAATGGGGATTGATAGTTGAGACTCCAAAGGGTATGTATAAAAATTGGAAACTCAAAATAATCATTGGTTTTACCGTGAGAGAGAATTGAAAAATAAGTATAATTCTGCATCTTCTTAATTTACAATTGAATTGCTTTCTGCAATACTACCATATCATGAAGTTATCAGAACCATATTTTTTAAATGGTTGCTCTAAAGTCAAGGTCCGAAATAAATTCATGAAAAAAACATCTTTTTTTCACGAATCTTTTTTCGGTCTATACTTACTGTATTGCAGCAACAATAATGCACATAAAAATTTAGGACTCCTTTTATTTTGAAGAGAACCTCAAAACATTTTTTTTCTCTGACTATTTTCCCTAATTTCAATATTCTCTGAGTTATACATGAAAGAAGGGAGAAAAATGCACCTTTTTAATTTTTTTTACATTTTCTTGCGCAAGCAATTATTATGCACAACTTTTTCAGCGGGCGCATATCGCAATTATCATTTTACATAATATTTTGACCTATTTCCAACAAAAATTAGCGTCACTATACAGGGTGTTTCATAATATATGCGCAGGACTTCAGGATGCGATAGCTCGTCCAAAAATTTGAAAAAAAGCTTGTATTAACTTACCCTCTAAAATGCACAATTTTCGAGATACAGGGTGTTGAAATTGTAAAAAAAATTTCGTTTTTTGCGAATATCTCCGGAACCGTTTATCGTACAGAAAACAGCTTTTGTAAGCATTTACTACTCATAATAAGCTATGTTCTGTGCGAGAAAAATTTTTTTTCAAAGTCATAATTGGTGAAGATTTTGAAGGGGAAGTGGGTGTTTTTCTCCCCAACTTCTACGCTACTGGAACAAGTACGGTTTTGAGACGCCCATTTGAACCGCCAATGTTTTCTACACAAAAACTGTACTCTTGGTCATAAGCTCT